AATAGACCTAAGATCAATCTTGAAGAAGATAGATGCACCCTGCAACTGGTAAAACAAGTCATCAATGTGAGGTAAGAGATACTTGTTCTTAATTGTTACTTGATTGAGTTCCATATAAAAATAGATTTATAGATTTAAAAAATCATATAAATGAGAAATAAATCACTAAGAAATGAAAAAAAAAACATTTTTTTTGAGTTCTATTCCTGGATTGAACTTTAGTTACAAAAGTTCTATAATCAATGCAAAACCGAAGGGTTCTATCATTTTGTTTTTGCAAATAATACCAGGGCACCTTGTAGAGAATTACTTAGTCTGGTCAACCTCTTATCACATAGTGCAATCAACTCACGGTTTAGTTCTCAGAGTTCCACGTAACCCATACGATAAGTGGCCTTTTGGACATGGGTTGTATCCCTAGAACTATAACAATGGAGAACTCAATTTCTCTTCTGGGTGGAAAACCCAGAAGTTCTTCAAAAAACCCTCAAGATAGTTGCAGACAACCAAAATGGATTGTATAACATTTTTGGAGTCTATTTTCTATGTGCAAAAGGAGTTAAGAAAAGACAAATAATTCATTTAAATTTTATAAAATATGTCAAAATGTAAACTCAAAACATTTACGATTCAAAATATTTGATTAGTTACAATCATAAGTTCATACAACATTTTAGGAAACGTATTCCTCCTTGGAATAATGAAGAGTTACAATCTTGTTGTAGCAATCATTGGCAGCATGGTATGTGACCAACTCTTTAACTGAAACCCTCACCTTGCAAGCCTTGTATACTACATGGGCTTCTAAGATTCCCTCAAATGGTGTCTCTAGAATTAGGGTTTGCTTTAGGGGTTCTAGTTTTACCAACAAATGTTTAGCAAATTCATAAGATACAAAGGAGTGAATGACACCAGTATCAATCAAAGCACGAGCCATATAATTATGAATAGAAAACATATTTTGAATGATAATCGGCATCACCATAGTACTTGATTCGTTGAGATGAAAGACTCTTCCTATAGCAACAGGTATGACAGCATCTCTAGGCTTTTGGGAGCAATTCTTCACAAAGTATTGGGTATTCGTGCATTTGTAATAAGCATTATTTAGCTTGTAACATGGGTGATTGCCCTAGTCTTTATCGTAGTGTCAACATACCTATGTAGGATGAGAAGGGTTACCTAGGGGTAGAGGTGGAGGTGGAGAAGCAATCACGATATAGGCTACTAGGGGTCTTTAATTAGCACAATATTAGTTAGGCTACTTCCTCTTCAGCTGGTTCTGGTTCCTAATATGATTGATTTGCTAGTACCTAACAGCAAGGAGTTCCTCTGCTAGTTGCGGATTTTCTAAGACTTTAGTCTAACTAGCAGGTTTCATCATGGCGACTCTATCATAGAGGTCCGCCCTACGGCCCTTCATAAATTTTTTACCTTTTTTACTCTAAGCAATAATTAACTTTGGAGCAAAACGAGATTACTGGATAAATTAGGAGGCATAATGGCTATCTAACATGCTTCCCTAACAAAAGTCATGAAATTCCTCCTTCTTCTTCTCATGAGCATAGACCGGGAAGAAGTTTCTATAAAAGACATCTAAAAATTACTCATAAGTGTTAGGAGTAGATAAGGTGTCCTTAATATCCCACCAGTGCTTAGTGTCACCAGTGAACATAAAAGTTGTTAGGAGAACCTTTTGTTCCTTTATAAGCTCGAGGACAATGAAGATCTTCTCTATCTGCATTATCCAACTTTTCATCACCATGGGATCAGGTCCGCCATTAAAAGAGGGAGGGTTCAATCTAAAAAATTTAGAGATATTACTTGAGATGGCACGGACATAGTAGGTTGGTCCTTAGTAGGACAAGGGCAATTTTCATCGTATGCACAATTATGGCTCACGATAATAGTTAAACCTTGGATGGCTTGAAATAATTCAGTGAATTCTGCCCTAGTCAGGGCATCAATGGCTTCAGGTCTTTCAGTGGATGGTCTCCCACGAGTCATAGTTGCCTACAAAAAGGGGAGACAAGGTCTTACTAAAAGAAGTTGGCTTAAGATTCCTAATTTAGTATTATTCTAAGTCTTAGTGTAAGGGATGTCTTAAGGAACTTGCTCTGATGCCACTTGTGACATCCAGCAACCTACATGGGCAGTGATAACCTATGATAGAACAAATACGAGTACATTTTCAAAATACAAGACAAAAGTTATATTTATCCCTTACAACCATACATAGGGTATTATTGAGGCAAAAAAATTAGCTACAAAATATTACAAAACAATGTTCAACTAATCTAAAAAAATATAAAATAGGGCCTCTTAGAGCACAACGCTTCAATGCACTCTACAACTATTGATCCAAGATTGGATCCAAGCAAGCATCAAGGAGCAGCTCAACATGCAAGTCTTTTCCTTCAACATCATCTGGGGGAGATCGATTGGGGGTGAGTTTCATAAAACTCTGTAAAGAAAACAATATTTAAACAATGTTATAAATGTTTCAAAGGTTGCAAATCTCAATTACAAAAAAATACAATTAATTCTAAAAACAACATTACTTACTATTAGAGACTGATGGAAATTTCACAATATGGTTACGTTTATTTTAGAAACTGATGAAAACTTTATAGTATTATTTTATTAAAATCATTTTGAAATATATGACCCAATCAACCTCTAAGAGTATAGTCTTCGTAGAGAAATCAATCAACCCAAGGCAATTTATCTAGAAGACTATGATATAACAATCATACAGTTTTACTTATTCTAATTATCTTGAGTTGATTTAGTTTCACTGTTTACAAAACTACGCACGAAGTCGCTTAAACCTATATCAACGGAGGGCAGAGAGGAGTCCCAACTACCATTGTGAATGGAGAAAACAATTCAATTTAGTATACAATAATTCAGTCATATATTATGACCACAACATTACTTCGCTACTATGATCACTACAATTGATCGTAATCCACTCTCATTAGAGGGACGATCAATACCATTCATAGGGAGTGGTTCACCAATAGTTAATAATAGTCATATTTTAATCATCCCTTTGCGATAATAGTTAAACAGATTTTGGACCCTCTTTGTTATTTAAATTCAATATGCAGTCGCAACTTAATTTCAATTCACATATTTATATCCGGCCCATCAGCCTATCAAACTTATTTTTAAAAGTCCCTCAGCCCATTAGGCCCACAAAAAATTACAAACATTAACATAAGGCCCACAATTTCCCCTTTACAACCCATTAAGGGCCAGTCTCACCTTCTCTCACACTCACAACCACTAACGCCCACTAATCACTCATTTTTCACACCCTTGGCCACTAAAATCCATTTGGTCACTCCTTTGGCCCACCAGCCCATCGACTCAACCCGAACCCCTTCTTCCTACTTTCTAAATCCTTTGGACTCCAAAGCACACCAACACACCTTGGGCCCAAAAGGACCTTATCACTCTCTCAGGTGCCCCAAAACCAACCCAACTAACCCACTCCGATGACTTATTCACGCTGATTCAGGCTCCTTGAAGCCCTACCAAACAGTCTCGGCACCCATTAAGGCCACTCATAATCGAACCTCACCCTAGTTCTTTAATTCTTTTCAGGCTCTGTAAAGCCCATTAACAAACTTGGGCATAATGAAGGGATCCATTGCCCAAACCACAGGTCCTCTAAACCTAACCAACGAATATAACCCAAAAGCCCTCTTATGTCTCTCGGGCTCCTCAAGCCTTATCCATAAACTCAGCCCAAAGGTGCATCAAACAGTTTTGGACCTATCAGGTTCACTTCTAGTTTGAGGCCCGTAAAGGAAGCCCTCTCTATCCCCACCAGTTGGGTTAGACAAAGACCTAATAGCCAAACCCCTATGCACACACATATATGCTCTCTTAGCAATGGCAGCACAACATGGGCGTGTTGTGTATGCCCTTTCCACACAACAACGTGCTATGGCATGCGGGCCTCTCGGCATATCGACATGCCTTGCAGATCACATGCGCACCTATCCCTCACAACAGATGGCATACTGACATGTCTGAAAAGATCCGTACGCATATGCGTAACTGCCGTGCGCACGCGGGAAGCTAGGGGACCTATCCTAGCACGTAGGTGTGCCCGAACAATGTTCCTCATGCAGCAGACACTCAGCATGGTTGTGTGCTACAAGCAGTCCTCACATGTTGGTGCCTTCGCAACAACTCATGTATGTGCACAACGGATATTCAAACATTAAAATTATAAAAATAGAATAAAAAAGATCAACAAATTTCGCAATAACACATGCATCAAACCGGTCTCTAATAGTCACTGCTACAAACCATAGGGAACTTCATTACTCTGTCACTCTGTTGACATCCGTCTACGGTTTTAAACCCTCTACACTATAGTTTAGAATCGGTTCATCACTCATTAACTCATTGAATAAAGCTTTTAGTCTTGAAGAATAAATACTTATAATATCTTGGTTATGCATGATGGTTATTATGACTTGTTTCACCTCATAAATTTTTGGTGCATTTTGCTATGAATGTTGATGTTCCAACTTGATCTACAGTTGATGTGTCTTGTCTGCATATAACATACTACACTTAATATTAACAGATTTAATAGATTTGCTCATGGAGATGCTGGACCGGGTTGTCATTTTTTAGTTTAATTTGGTTTGGATTAAAATGAACCGAATGTTTTTAAATTTTTAATTTAAAAATAATAACAATATATAAATTATATTTTATGTTTTATTTCTGGTCCAAATTGATCCAGTTCAGTCCAATTTTCTTATTTGGATTGAAATTTCTATCACCTGCCTAATGGGCTTTTACCAGTCCAATTTTCTTATTCGGATTGAAATTTCTATCACCTGCCTAATGGGCTTCGACCTGTGGAGGAAGATAAAGACCCAAACCCAATCCAAGAATGTGATCCAGTACCCAGGAGTGGAAAGGGCAGAATTGCATCAATTTATGGAACTCTTCCTGATCCCGTGATTTATTTAATAATTTACTTTTCATGAATGCAGAACCAAGTCTGACTGTTCGCAATTAACACTGGCTTGACAGGGAAGACAACAAGAGAGGTGAAGAAGCGGAAAGTTTGGTTCCATGTATGTTGTTATTCAGAATATTAATAGTTAGAATTTGGAGGAGAAATTTAAAAAACACAGATAGAGAAGTAAAATGGGGATGATGGAGGAACTGCATATATCGCCGGCGGATGCTGATCCTCGACCGGAGAAGCAGCAGCAAGCTGCCGGAGTGGGAATTCTGCTACAGATTATGATGCTCGTCCTCTCCTTCGTTCTTGGACACGTTCTTCGCCGTCACAAGTTCTATTATCTCCCTGAAGCCAGTGCTTCCCTTCTCATTGGTATTGTTCTTTTCTCATTTTCTTCATTTTATTATATTTTATTCCGTTCCGAACATCATTCGTTCTAATTTTCTTCTTTTTCTACTTCGAAATTTTTATTTAGGTTTAATCGTTGGTGCACTTGCTAATGTCTCAGACACAGAGACAAGTATCAGGTGCTTGTCCTTTGATTTCCCCCCACTTTTCTTTTCTCTTCTCCTATGGTTTTTCCAGTTCTGAGTTTTAGTATTAGGGACGGAAACCCGTTTACTTTTCCTATTCTTATCGTTTCTTTATTTTTGCTGTTCAGGGCATGGTTCAATTTCCACGAGGAATTCTTCTTCTTGTTTCTGTTACCTCCCATCATCTTATATCCATACTTCGTTTCTTTTTGACTCTCTTTCTTTCGGTACATTTTCTGCATAAAACTATATAATTAAGCATGCGCCCATCTCTACGCAAAGCATATATTATATTGTATTAGAAAGGTATAAGTTCTCAATTTCAAACTTGGCTTTGCTACATGTTTTTCTTGACATTCCTGTTCCTACTCAGTCAGGGTTCTCTCTGTCACCCGTAAGTGTTCTTCAGTAATTGTTTTTAGATGTTTTTCATCCTGCTATAAATAGAAAGGTTATATTTTAATTTTCCATGATGATGCCCATGTCCTCATTGGCTTTCTTGCAGAAACCATTTTTCTCCAACTTCGGAGCTATTGTCACATTTGCTATTCTAGGAACGTTTATAGCTTCTTTTGTTACGGGTGTTCTCGTGTAAGTATTCTTTTCACCTTTGTAATTATAATTCTATGATATTCACCTCTTACTCATTTCTCTGCGCCCCCCCCTTTCACTGACTCCTTTTACAGATACCTTGGTGGTGTGGTGTACCTCATGTACCGGCTTCCACTTGTTGAATGCCTCATGTTTGGTGCTCTTATATCAGCAACTGATCCTGTCACTGTTTTGTCCATATTTCAGGTGATCTATGCCATACTTTCTACTTAGAATTGCATAGGTAAACTAAAGCCATTTTCATGGCCTTTTCGTCTAAAACTTGTCATGGTTCAGTGAATAAATCAGTGATTTATATTCTGATAAGGTCCCAGATCTATGATCTTTTTTTTTTCTTTTCCCCAAAGAAGTTCTATGATCCAGTTAGTCGGGGGTTTATGCAAACTCAAGTCCTGCAGCAAGCTAGCAGCTAGCTTGCTGGAGTTTCAGCCTTTAAGACCAGTATTTAGGGCTCATTATCAACATATCTAGAGAATACTCTATTTTTTCATAAAATATTCAGATGCTTTATTCATTGATGATAAGGGAAAATGATTTATTTCTTAAGAAATAGGAGCTCGAGAAAGCTGGAAAATGATTTCCTAATTATTTGCAAACAAAACATAGAATAGAAATTAGAACAAAATTGGAAAAGGATTCCAAACTCCTAGTAAGAAGCAGGAAATATAAACTGGAGAAAATAGGTAGAGGCTAAACTTGAAAGATTTGTTCTGGCATTATAGTTGAATTAGTCCATATCATAAATTGGAAAAGATTAGGCAGACTTTGGTGCTGCCTTGGATTTCTTGTGCTTGTTGTGGGTCCAGCAGTTTTATACTAACCTGGTGTATTTGCTGCTCTCCTATTTCTCTTCTTCCTTATTGTGCATTTAACATCACTTCCCTCTTCCTAGAGGTGCTTGTTAGCAGGTGCCAAAGAAGGATAATGTTGGTCATTTTTGAGGTGTTTTCCTTGAAGCATTGGCTAGAAAGTTCTTCTGCGATGGATTTTATTTCCCATTTTTTGGAGCGCTAGTTGAGGAGTGCTTATGGAGTCAGAACCCCAAGTAGATCAGGGGTAAGGAAGGCTCTGCTTTAGTTCCATTGAACTCCTTCAAACAGAATACACGGAAATCAAAGTCAATGCAGACTGTTGGAGGCGAGTCTAGCTCATAGGAGACTTCGCTGACCTTAGAAAGGATGGGAAAGATCCCAAAACATCGGGGAGCTAACAACTTCTAAACTTGTTTCTTAGTTGAGGAGAGTTAATGACTAGTTTGAAGTTTAAGGAAAACCTGATCAGTATCATTTGTTTTTAGATAGAAAAGGAAGTTATATTAGGAAAAGGGAGGAAATATTACAAAAAGTACAACAGATAAGGTATCCTGCTGAAACAAAGGGAAATCAAAACAAAAAAATAGAAATAAAGCGTCTAATAGAAAATTAAATGACGTGACTTTAGCATCCCTGCCCCTATGAAGGACAGTGAGGGGAGATGTTGGAGTATTTTCCATGAGCCTTGGCCCAAAGGGAAGCTAGAAATATCATCTTCTTTTAGATGAGGTTGTCTTGTACAGAATAGTCTTAAAAGATCCACCAATATTTTTGTTCAAATAGTCCAAAGGACAGTAAACAACATTCCTTTCCACAATGGTCTGACCTTTGCCTTAATCCCAAAACTACGAAAGTATGTATTGATGAAACAATTCAAAGGAGTAACCCATACTAGGTTAAAAGTGTCAGAGTCTGGCCCGTAGTGTCTAAGGGTCTGACCTATACTTTCCATGTCACTTTAGAATGTGAAAGGAGATGAAAATACATTTTCCTGCCTTTATGGCTCGTAATACACATGTCGGGAGACAAAGCTTGCTTAGGGCTACGAATTTGCAGCAACTCATTAGTGTTAAGTCAGTTCAGGTTGCAGTCCACACGAAACCTTCACCTTCAAAAGGACCTTGACTTGCCAAACTGCCTTGATAAAGGTACTCTCGTAACAATCAGGGTTTTTTATTATATGGTCGAAGAACGTTTTACATGTATATGCCTAGGAGTCAAGGGTCCATATCCTGCAATCAGGTTGCTGGAAAGGTTGAAACAATTGTAACAAGCTTAACATGGAAAGGAGCTCAACGGTTTCTCTATCATTCAAAATTCGGAAAAAATGAAAATTTCAAGTAAGAGAATCATTGGAAGTGCAAAAGAACCGATAAATTGGGGTATTATGGCGGGAATGCAAAAGAAACATGGGAACTAGCTACCCAAGGGTCACTCACCCCTCCAAAGATCCTCCAGAAAGGACCTTGGAACTATCCCCCAGTTTATACTTGGTAGGGGGCTTATAGATGTTAATCAAACTTGAATGGTCTTCCATGGACTTTTGTGCTAGTAGATCTCATGGCTATAGCATCCCAACCATTCCACTATCTCCTGAACACTTTTGATCACTTATGCTACTAAGAATTAGGTTCATCTGAAAAATGCCATAGCCATTTAACCAATAATGACAAGTTCCTAAACTTAAGATTCCCTGTACCAATCTGCCAATTATTCTGGACCTACAACATACCTCCGAATTAACTAGATGACCTCTCCAATCCTCACCATTCTCTGCCCATAGAAAGTTCCTCATCACACCCTTTAAGTGCTCACTAATACTAGCAGGAACCTTAAATAAAGAGGTGTAATGGATAGGGATACTAGACAAGCATGCGTGGGTAAGAGTGACTCTACCACCCAAGAAAAAGAGACCATTTTCAATTATCTGAATGCCTAGACACCTTACTTACCACCCTGTCCCAAAATGACTTACACCTAAGGTTACCGCCCAACTGAATGCCAAGATATTTAATGGGCCATGCTAGAATCAAACAACCAATAACCTCTGCTAGATTGTTCACTGTGCTATCAACCATATTAGTATCAACTACCCATTGTTTTGCCATGTTAACGCGAAGCCCATACATAAGCTCAAACAACCTAACCAGCAGAAAATGCATGAAAGATAGATCTAGTATCATTAGACAGGGAAAAGATTATGTCATCTGCAAATTGGAGGTCGGACACCTCAACTCTGTCATTGCCAACTATAAATCCTTCAATTGCTCATCTCTCATATCTTCTAGGAACACATTCACTCGTTTCTTCGATTGCGCATAACACATTCACTCATTTCTTCATTGTTCTTCTGTCCGCCATGGTTTTTTTTTATGCTCTATGACCATTGCAAGGGGTACCAACGCGTAGGGCTCAAATCCATACTCTTTTTGATGATTTTTTGTAATTGAGGCCACACTTGTCAAGCAGTTTTAGCGGGGCAAGTAGGTCTTCCAATAGTACCATGATACTGAAAAGAAAAGAAACAATACTCTGGAAGTTCTTGAGTGCTATTAACAAAAGATGATTTTGATTGCAGGAACTTGGCACTGATATGAACCTCTATGCTTTGGTGTTTGGAGAATCTGTTTTAAATGATGCTGTAAGTTTCTGTCACCACGTTGTGACATTCTGGTGATGTTTGTGATGTTTTTCCTGAATGTGCATATACTTACTGGTTGAAATGGCCCTTTGCACGTCTTGTGCCATTAATAGATGGCAATATCATTGTACAGGTGCGTGAATTACTTTTTTTTTATCTTCAGAAATCAGGATAGAGTTTAGTTCATTAAATCAACCAGAATTTTCTATGCAGGACGATGTCCTCTGTGAAAAGTCATGCTTCATCTGGTCAAAACTTTTTGATGTTGATTGTCAGGTTTCTTGAGACCTTTGTTGGTTCAATGTCTGCAGGTTAGGTTTCCAGTTGCACCTTTGTTTTGTACTTCAGAATAATTTTCTCTTTTCTTCTGCACCATATATATACTGTTAAGGGTTTTTGATGCAGAATAGGAATATTTTAGACTGGACAAATCTCAATGGACATTTATGTAATTATAACCTTTATGTATTAGTAAGGTATTTAACTTATCTGGGAAGAATAGATTTATAAGAATTTTACTTCTTATTTAGTTCAGGATCTTATTTTATTATCAATTTCCCATTTAAGGAATCTAGTCATATCAGGAAAAGATAAATGGAAAAAGGAGTTGTAGAAAAATTAAAGCCAGCCAAAACCACCTATGGGGAAAACATAATCACCTCCTGTTTTAGCCAAGTTGAATTGAGCCTTTCATTATGAGTTCCTTAGGTGAGAAAGGGTGAATTTTGATATTGAATCTAAGTCCTTCTCGGTGAGCATCTGGAATGCGGGAAAGGGAAGCATAAAGGTTGAGGAGAAGGCACAAGATTGGGTTTATTATATTCTTCTGGAGTGGCTGGAATCCGAATGGAGACCAAATTGCCTGTCAACTTCATAAGAGGGAATGATATATGCACCAGCGTGTAGGGTTGACGACAGGCTACCCGTTGGTGGAAGTTGTAAGAAACAAAGGTGGCCTATTCTCGGCTTTCTCGAGATATGGCGAATGCTGTGTAAACAGGATTTGCATCCCGGAAGGCAGAGGAGGAATTGGTTGGAAAGGGATGACAACTGCAGTGGCTAGGGTTCAACACCCAGAAAGTAACCAAACCCCGATAATGTGCAGAAAAGACTGGAAAGAGAAAGAAGAAACATGTCTGAACAGGGGACGACCTGCACGATAGGAGGTTCAGGGGCTGAAGGAAAGAGGCGCTGGGAAAAGCTGAGCAAGCTGGCTGGGTTATTGGCCTCTAATCATGGTGGCACAGGTTAGCAGGTCTGGCAGAGGGAGCAGCCAAATCCAATTCAAAAAACACGAAAATCTTGCCTCATAATTTGATTTGTCTACAAAGTAGGAGTTTATCTGAAGAGGATATGGGGGAAAAAATGAGCAGTTACTGATTTTCCTCTGATGTTATCAGTTGAGCAGCATGGAAAGAGATCATGTGGTGGGGCCCTCAGAAATCTCAGAAATTATGAATTATTTGAGTTACCTAGGTTGGGTGGAGAGCAAAGTAAATCAGTGTTTTTAAGATTGCAGTCCACTCTAGTTCCCATACCAGATAATCTAAAAATTGGGCCTAAGTCTTCCAAAAGAATAAGAAAAATAGGGGAAATGAAGGTGCTGGCCGATATAAAAAAAATATAAAGTTTTGGAGGCCCAGCCAAGGAAGAAAGCAGTTGCGTGGCTGAGGTAAGTGACAGAGGGGCTGAACCAGGTCCAAATAAATGGGAAAGAGAAGGAAACAAATGCTGGCAGAGGAGACTAAAGTATGTGACTGTGCTTCAAGCACTTCTTAATCCAAAACATTGCCTGGAAATAGTGGAGGAAAAGATAAGAGGGGACTGGTTTTGGATGAGGTGGAAGATGAATCAGCTTCTAATGAGTCCTCTTTTGACATGCTGGAAGTAGAGGAAGATGAGATAGATGCTGTTGATTTGAGTCAGGAGGAAGCACCCAAAGAAGCATAAATGAAATTTGGGAAGAGTTACAATTTATGTTCATAGATAAATTATCTAAAAATAAAAGAATGGAGATG